CATTGCTCAGAGTTTTACATGGGTGCTGGGAATTTGAACTCATGCTTCTCTTTCTTACCCACTGAACCATCTCTTCAACCCCCAAACCCAACCTCTTAATATATACACTAGCCCCTTTTGAATGTATTAGCTGTCAGACATTGTGCTACATAACCTTTAATCTCCACAGGGAAAAGGCAGAAGCAGGCAGTTCTCAAGTAAGTTCAAGGCCAGCCTAGTCTATATAGCGAGACTCTGTCTTTAAAAAAAGGAGAAAAAAAATAGCCATCTAGGATTTTTTTGCAGAAGCAGGCAGTTCTCAAGTAAGTTCAAGGCCAGCCTAGTCTATATAACGAGACCTTGTCTTTAAAAAATGGAGAAAAAAAATAGCCATCTAGGATTTTTGTTTGTTTGTTTTTGAGGCAGTCTTATGTAGTTCAGGCTGTACTCCCTATGTTGCCAAGGATGACTATGAACTCTCCATCTTCCTGTCTCTACCTTCCAAGTTATGGAATTATAGGTGTGTGCCATATACCCAACTGGGTCATTAAGTTTTAGCACTGAAATTTTATAGAAGACAGATCGTTTCATAGCACATCCTATCCAGAGCTAGGCCCAGCTGGCTGTGGTCCCTGGCAGAGTCCTGTGGATGCAAGGTGAGTGCCCATTCTAGATGCTTAACTCCTCCTCCTTGCAGGTGCTGAAGTCCACAGGGGATGTGGTTGCAGGGCGGGCCCTGTATGAGGGGTATGCAGCCGTCACTGATGCACCTCCAGAGTGTTTCCTCACCCTCAGGGACACAGTTCTGCTGCGCAAGGAATCCCGGAAACTTATTGTTCAGCCCAACACTCGCCTCGAAGGTAATGGATGTTGCACCCATTTGATGGAGCTACCTGGGATCTTTCCAGAGAACAAATGACACACTTGGTTCAGGGAGGGCTCCCTCACTGCTGTGTCCTTTCTGGCAAACCTCAGGCACAGAAGCTTGGCATTTTCCATCTCACACACCTGGACACTGGTTGCCAGGCAGCAGCAAGAGGTCGCAGGAAGACCAAAAGAGTAGGAACTTGTAGAGGCCAGGCCAAGGCTTGGAGGATCTGAAAGGTCCTAGCAGGAGGTAAAGTCAGGCAATGAGCTGGAACTGCACAGGCCAAGTAGGACCTAAGAGAATTTGAAACACCAACATTCAGGATGGAGATGTCTTCATTCCTCCCCTGCTTCTCAAATAACATTTCCATTTCTAGAATCCCTGGCCCTGCCTGCATGGTGCTGGTACCTTGTGTGCCTTTTAATCTCTTCAGTGTACTGAGTCCACTCTACTCATAGCCTTTGTACACACTGTTCCTTCAGCTTGGCACAATCGCTCTCAAATCTGTGCCTGTCTGATTCTTCTTGTTGGTCAAGTCCCTGTTACATGGCACCTCCCTGAGATATGCTGTCTTCAGCCCCTCCACACAAAGTAACCCCCTAAATTTCTTATCTCTTGGCTTCATTTTCTTTGTACTTTGATACATTCACTCCAGGAGAAGCCACTGAGGGATGGAACAGTGGATGGGACCCAGCCATTCCCTGAAGCAGTTCAGAGCCCATTAGGAAAGAGAACAAGTGGAGCTACTAATCACACAGGGAAACATTTATGAATGTTTTAAGGATACGAACAGTGTTCTGAACACTTGGATAAAGATCCCATCTATATCTTTAGAGTACCCAGGAAAGTTCTTGGGAGAAAGTGGTGGTGTTTAAACCAGACCTGAGGAACAGGTTGGATTTTTTCAAAGATGGTGCTAAGCTGTGGAATGTCCTATGATGGAGCATTTTCCCAATACATAATAGGCCCTGGGTTTTACCCCCAGCACTTTGGTAGTTGGTGGTGATGGTAATGGTGGTGTTGGAGGACTTGCAGGTCCCAGGTCCTATGTTTTCACGATAGGCTGGGATGGTAGCTCATTGGCAGCATGGTCTGCACTGCCAGATATGGCCCTAGGTGCCATCCCCAGTACTGAGAAAAGGCAGAGCCTCACAAGGATTAACTCCAAAGCCCGATGAAGTTTTCGTCTGTGAACTCAAATACACAACACAAATGTATCACATTTGTCTCAGGCCACACAGCTAAGTGGGTGCAGAGTCAAGACTTGAACTTGAGCCATGCTAGCCTGAAGCCTGCTCTCTTAACTACTGGGAACCTCTCAGTGCACACACCACACACAGGTCAAAGGTAGAGCAGCTGAAGAAGATAAAGGGGGTGCTTCCTGCCAGAATTCAGGAGCCTGGAGACAGGCCCATTTAGCAGGTAAGGTGCTCAGAGATGCTGCTGCTGAGGTAGCTAGCACTCATTGAGCACCAACTGATGCTCTAGCATACATAATCATAGCACCTTGAGAGAAGAGGTCATGTGCTTATTCCCACTTTACTTGTAAGGCACCGAGGCTTAGAACAGCTGGGAAACTTGCCCATGGTCTACACATGTCAATTAGTTGCTGGACTGTGAGTTTCAAGATGCCAAGGACTGTATCTGTTTTATCTAATGTTACACTTAAAAATTGACTTTAGATTTATTTTTTGTGTGTTTTGCTTGTATGTATGTATGTGCACCATGTGTACACACAATGCCCACAAGAGGGCATTGTATACCCTGGGACTGGATGGTTATGAGTCACCATGTGGGTTCTAGAGGCCAAGCTGAGTGCATCCTGGGTCCTCTGCAAGAGCAACAAGTACTCTTAACCCCTGAGCTATCTCTCTCCAGCCTCCTGACAAAGCTCTGTTATTGATCATTTTTGTTAGTGATTGTTGGGGTTTGGTTTGGTTTTATTGAGACTCGAATTCTCTTGGATTATGGTATGTACTGCGATGCCAGACTTCATTTGAGCTTTGACGCAGGAAGGATGAAAGCTGGTAGCGGTCCATTTAATCTGCTGTAATTCTGCCTTCCTCACTGGTTACTCTAATGACTAAGATAACTGGCCTAAACGTTGAACAGTTTGTGCCAAGAGGTCAGTCAGCACTCGACAGTCTTACGACTCTGTTACTATGATGCAGCTTCCCTATTCACATCTTTCGGTGCTGCTGTTTTTTCTCTGTCTCCTCCCAGGCTCAGAAGTACAGCTTGTAGAGTATGAGGCCTCAGCTGCTGGTCTCATCCGATCTTTCTGTGAGCGTTTTCCAGAAGATGGGCCTGAATTGGAGGAGGTCCTTACCCAGCTAGCCACAGCAGATGCCAGATTCTGGAGGGACCAGGTCAAGGAGGCCCCAGCTGGCCAGGCTTGAGAAGATTTCGTGATTCCTTTCCCCACTCCATAAACCTGTGTGTGTCATTAGGAGTGGGGGGTAGGGGTGGGCTCTGACTCTGGTGCTACCTCAACTGAGGGTGGTGATGCTAACCCTTCTATTTGTCAGCACTTTCTGGTTTACCAAGTACTTCCTCAGTTCCTTGGTCTGCGCTGCCATCTTTGGAGGGAGCTCCACAGGCTGCCTAGTCCAGTTTCCCACATGGGACAATGCAGTTCTGAGAAGTGACTGGTCTAAATCTGGTAGCTGGCATGTGACAGAGCCAGGGCTCAAAGCGTTCTCACCAAATCCAATGCTCTTCGTGTATTACTTTTATAACCAGAAAAATAAATACCACAAACAACCATCATTGCTATGTGTGAGATTCTTCCTCCCTGTGTTCAGAGCCTGGGGAGGGCACAGTACCGCACTTCTGGCTTCCAGTCCACAACAGGATTTTGCTATCGTCTCTAAAGGAAAGCACAGAGGCATAGTATGAGTTCTGCAGCTCTCCTTTGTGACATATTTTTTTTAAAGATTTTATTTATTTATTATGTTTACAACATTCTGCTTCCATTCTGCACATCAGAAGAGGGCACCAGATCTCATAACGGATGGTTGTGAGCCACCATGAGCAGTCGGTGCTCTTAACTTCTGAGCCATCTCTCCAGCCCCCATGACATATTTTTAATATTTATTTTTTTTCTGTGTATGTGTGTATTTTCTCACTGTGGGCTGGTCCCAGCAGAAGCTAGAAGACAGTATCAGATCCCCTAGAACTATACTTAAAGAATTGTGAGCTGCCATGGGCTGCTGAGAAGCAAACTGGGGTTCTCTGCAAGAGCAGCAAGCGTCTTGTACTTTAAACTTTCAGGAGCTTAAGAGCTAGTACCCATCAACTTGAGATCCTGCCCTTTAATCCTCGTGGTTTGGGTCTCAGAGCTTGGACCTCTACAGTCAGAAGAAAGGACATGACACTTTTCGACTGGGCTAACCATAAAAATTGAGGCAGTTCATTTTGATGATCTTAACCTCCAACAAGAGCTCCTCCCCAGCCCTCGAAGCCCAGGACCCTGTTATTGGTGCAGAAACCATAAGTCAAAATAATGTAAGAGGAAATGCTGGCAAGGAAACGGGCGCTTTTCTGGTTCCAGCCGGGACAATTACATCCCCGGAACGTTTGTTTCTGTGCTTTCTGGTGTCCGGATTCTATTGGGCGTTGCGCTATAGCGGAGGTGGTTGCCAAGGCGACGCTAGGGAAGATGGCTGCGACGTCTTCAGCGGATTCCGACAGCGGGAGAACTGAGAGGTGAAGTCCCGGTTCCTCAGGGCTTCCTTTCCCTCAGATGAGTAGACTGCGCCTTGGTGCCGAGTCCCGGGCTCTTGCTTTCGGGCTGCGCTGAAAGTTCTGAAAGGTACTTAAAGAATTGTGAGCTGCCATGGGCTGCTGAGAAGCAAACTGGGGTTCTCTGCAAGAGCAGCAAGCGTCTTGTACTTTAAACTTTCAGGAGCTTAAGAGCTAGTACCCATCAACTTGAGATCCTGCCCCCTTTAATCCTCGTGGTTTGGGTCTCAGAGCTTGGACCTCTACAGTCAGAAGAAAGGACATGACACTTTTCGACTGGGCTAACCATAAAAATTGAGGCAGTTCATTTTGATGATCTTAACCTCCAACAAGAGCTCCTCCCCAGCCCTCGAAGCCCAGGACCCTGTTATTGGTGCAGAAACCATAAGTCAAAATAATGTAAGAGGAAATGCTGGCAAGGAAACGGGCGCTTTTCTGGTTCCAGCCGGGACAATTACATCCCCGGAACGTTTGTTTCTGTGCTTTCTGGTATCCGGATTCTATTGGGCGTTGCGCTATAGCGGAGGTGGTTGCCAAGGCGACGCTAGGGAAGATGGCTGCGACGTCTTCAGCGGATTCCGACAGCGGGAGAACTGAGAGGTGAAGTCCCGGTTCCTCAGGGCTTCCTTTCCCTCAGATGAGTAGACTGCGCCTTGGTGCCGAGTCCCGGGCTCTTGCTTTCGGGCTGCGCTGAAAGTTCTGAAAGGGCCGTTTAGAAATCAGTAACGGAAACCAAAGGCCAAGAAGCGTCTGTGT